ATAATTAATATTACATTTCTACTAATCAATAGTCATGGGTCGCACCACACCCACCTTTCAACTTGATCCCATCACAAACAAAGCCCCTTGGTGTTTGTGTGTGTCTTCAACACACCTCATCATACTCTGCATCACAATTATGTGTTTTATTATTGTTATCCTTCCTGTGGTCTGGTGTCAGTCAAATTATTTGCAGTGCATACCTTTGATGGTGTTACGAAGAAAACTGCTTTCAGCTTTGTGTGGTCAAATCAAATGGTGGAGGGGTGGCGACCCTCCAAAACCTTTCTGTGTTTAGGTTCATGCAATAAATGCTGTATCTCAAGATAACAGTGAAGTTAGTTTCAGATTCGGTGGAGGAAAACCCCACGAGTTGGTGGTTAAGTATTTGAAGTTCCCTTTAACTATGTCATTATTTACAGGGGGTGTCTGTTTTGAGGGGGCTAGATATGAGAGGAAGAACTAGACTTTTGGACATATAACCAATGATTTAATTTATTATTCCAAGCAGACCAGATGGAATTGTGTCTTTTGATCTTCACAGAATTTCACATTGAATGTGCTCTTAATGGATCACAATGTGTCAGTTATTGTGAAATAATTATATCATCATAGGAAAGAAATTAAAAACTTAATATGAGATAAGCAATAAACACAAATTAGAACATCTGCTTACTCCTTGTCTGAATACAAAACAGTAACCACCCAATGCAAAACTGCACGATAGATTTGAGTGTCAGTGACGCAGTGAAAGGACAAATGAGCACAGGATTAGCTTTCAAAAGATTGGATTTATTTCACCGGAAGAATGTCAACATGCAAAAGAATGAAAACAAGCAAATGAACTAGAAAGCTGGGCCCATTAAAAGAGCTCACCAAACAGAACTCAAAATCAAATCAAAAACGCAATTATGACAAAACTGGACATTAACTCTAACATCTGACCTCACAAATGAGAGAAGATAGAGACATATATCAAAGCATTTGAAATTGATAAAAGGACACAAAGACATTAACAATGTCAATGACAATGATGCGAGAGTGTATATAAACCTATATTTAATCATTAGGATGAGTATGTGTGAAAAAAGTGAATGTTATCATGTATTTTAAATGAGGATACAGCCATCACAGGGAGAATCAACATGAACCACAGGTTCTCTTTCATGCCTGAAAGTGGAGGGTGAGGGGTGTTCAGCTGCAAGATGCAACTTCACCACTAGATGCCACTAAATTCTACACACTGTACCTTTAATTTAAGCCCATTCTTTCTTTCCATCTCTGCTCCCTCCAGGTTATGGCATGATGACAGATGGAACCACAACATTTGTCAATGCCTCAGCATGCACCGTCAACTTCCTGCCCATGAACCCACCCATTGTCTTTGACCTCCCCAACCCCAGGACCACATGACTAGAGGAAGCTCAGCCGAAAACCCTCACAGCCAATCAGGAAAAAGGAGCAGGCAAAAGTAGGTGAGATCAGCGGGCAGAACTGAATGATGTACATATAAGGCAGGTGTGGTTTTAATGTGACGCGAAATGGTACGCCAGGAGTCCATTAGTGTAGGGAACTTAGGACCAGAGGCTCACGCACGTCATTAATGTTATTTTGTGTGCCATCATTTCTTCACCGATAACAGTGTCTAAAAAAAGACAAACGAGTGGAGAGATGCTTTACTTGAGGAGAAATTGGACATTTCTCTGTGTTCTCTTTTATTGCCCTGACAATCTCATGTGTCTCTCAGATACTCAGAAGAGACACGCTGATGTCGCTGTTGGCCTTCATAACTTCAAATTAAACTGAAAGCATTTGGACTTTCAGTGAAACAACCCAATGCCTTGTTAACTGGAGAGTTTCGGTAGCATGGACTCAGTAACGGGACATTTGCCAGGGGGAGCTTCACTTTTTTTTGGTACTTTTTCGCCCTTCCTTCTTGTAAATATTCATTTCCCCTATTTTTCTTGGCTTCCTCATAGCGGGAATGTGATTTTTGCCACTGTGCGTGTATATGTGAGATCAAAGCGAGTGTTTGAGGGCAGCGGAAGGTCTCTGCCACAGGCTGTGTGAGAGTCAGGGTGTCAAACATGTTGACATCGCTCTCACGGGCCTCATTACAGCCAGGGTTGCCAGGTCCCACAGAATTAGGCTACCTTTAAAGAGTTGTGGGTTGGTTATTTCTTCAGAAGGTTGGTTAGACCTGTTATGCATGCAAAGTACATGAATAATATCTATAAATAAAATCCATATTTTATATGAAATAATTTATTTATACCCAAATCCGACCAAACTGACTCCCTGATTACAGCCCCTCCGTAAGCCTCTTAACCCACTGAAGAGAGGACGTAGAGGAAGCAACTCACAACCCCTTATGTGGCGTCCCTTTTGCATTTTCTCATCTATCTTGTTTTATTTTCTTCCTCTCCCTCCTTCATTTTGTGAATAACTAGTTCTGCTTTTTAGTCACGACAGGTCGGGCATTTTGGACTTGAAAAGGACAGCAGGTAAAAAGGTGCTACATGCTCACCCAGCATCTGAACAGAGATGATTGATTTTAACTGTTACATCTCTGTGTTGTAACAAGTTTTTTTTATCCTTATTAAAGATAAGCTGATAAATTTGTAACTAAATGTACTGTAACTGGTCTATGTAAATGTTCTCTGTCAATACAAAAAATGTTTTTTTTCTGTAAGATTTCCAAGTTGTTGCACTGCTTTTCAAAATACTTAAGTATTTGTGTCCAGAGATGTGTGGTTGTTTCTTTTCATTCAGTCTATTTCTTAGTAATGTAAATGTTCATTTTGGTACGGTCTTCTCCGTGCCAATTCTGTGATTGTTAACTCTCATGTCAATAAGCAGTTTCTTTTCTCTTTCTTTGTATTCCGTTTTCTGTATTTGGCCATTCCAACTGAGTCTGAATGTGCACAACACATCGCACTTTGATCCCTCGTCATTATGTCCAAAGGTTCCTTGGAGCTACAGTTTACTCATGATTCACTGTCTCTTCTTCAGCACAGCAGCCTTCATTCTTTCATTCATTCATTTTTACAGTCCCAAAAGATGCAAAAGGAGGAAGAGCACCCATTTCTGTAGGCACTTGTTAGACCAAGCACATTTACACCTGAGTGTACAAGAACCAGTTTTAGGACATATTTTTGGTTAAGGTTAGAAATGGGATTAGTTTTGGGTTTGTAGCCCAGAGCACTGCAAGAATACACAAGCAAATTCATAAAACATACTCAACAACTTGATAACACACATGTCTGGTGATTCATTTGTACATCAGCAGGGCATGGAGGGATTCATTTCACTCATCAGCACCACAGTTCCTGGGGAATATTAGACACTAGCGAGGAGTTCAGACACCATGTAGTATAGTATGACCTGCTTCAATTAAGGTTGTTGTTAGATCAGTAGCACAGTTGCAGAATCATGCCCACAACCCACAGGCATCTTTTTTACTTTGTACACTCCAGCATGGAAGTATCAGAGCAAACTGGTTTGGCATCCAAATATTAAAATAAATCCAAATACATCTTCATCGTGATAAATTAGCACTCTGTTACAAAGTCAGCTGAGGCCATTCAAACCCTTCAGTTGAAATTGAGTAGTGACTGAGCTTCGACGATTAGTTGATCAGCAGAAAACAAATGTTTTGTCATTGAATAATCATTATTAAAATCGTTTTCTGAGCATTTATAAAACTTCTGGCTGTTGGTCGAGCAAAATATGTTTGGGGACATCTGGACCGATAAGTGTAAAAATGTTATATGCTGTCAATAATGTTGCTATTATTGAATTACATCTTTAAGTTATAGTTATAAGTTACCAGGCAGTTATGCATTGATATTTCAATGATATCTCATGGTTAATCATAACTTCACCCTTTTGTTTTTGCTCTGTAACAATTCAGACTTTACTTGAGTTAAAAAAAAACATTTTAAATTCTATACTACTACAGTATGATTTTTTTTCAATGAAACTCAAATTTAAGAGCACATTTAAATTCTTAAATTAACACTGCATTAACTGTTTTTTCAAGACTAATGGTTCTTTGTTGATGCTGGCACAGAAATGTATTACAATCCTCTTCAAAGGAGCAGAGTGTAAGGCATGAGCTCTGGAGATTTTAGATCAGGGTTATAAATAATAGTTTCGATGTGGCCAGTGGAAAGTCTCTACATGCACAATATTCAGGGTGTGTTAGTCTCTGTGAGAGTATTTCATACAGAGTGTAAAAAGAAAGGGAGTGCTCAGCCTCATCATTTAAACACCAATTTAATTAGTTTCTATGAAGAAAATGTTCCAAGACAAGAATAAAGGGAACTATAAAAGAGCAAAAGATGGAGGGAACTTTCATCTTTAAGTTTAATAAAAAGCTGAATTTAGTCTGATTTATCACTTCCCTTCCTCATTTAAATGTCCCTCACTTTGATGCTCCTCTGCTTTAGTAGCTGTGTTGTGTTTCCTGTTTTTCCAAGAAAATAAAGTGTGTACAATTTCTGGATTTATTTTGAGGCATGCTTAAAAGAGTTAATGACTTCTGCTACTCAGACAATCTGCATATGAAGAGTTTTATTCCAAAATGAGATATCCACCATTTGAAAACAAATGATGCCCACACAGGCAGAGTGACTGACAAGTAAACGGTGGACTGTAGGGGTACTTTTAAAAGAACTATAAGTGACTTGTGTCCTAGCTGACATTTTTACTTTCTACTTTAACATTATGGGATAGTTATTAATGTCAGATCTTTTTTTAATTGATGTATAACATTTTGGAACGAAAGTGTTCATATGGTATTGTATTTTGCCATCGTTGTTGGGGACTTTCCCATTTTTTTAACTGTAAAATATTACTAAAAACAGGGGAGGAAGACCCAGCGGCTGCAACATTTTACAGTGTTGCTCTTGGAGACAACTCTAAAAATGTAAAGTACTTTTCTGTCTTAAAACCATAACGATTCTGCCGGTTCTGACAGATTATTCACTGATTGAATAAAACCTTATCTGTGACCTGTGGATCATGTTTCCTTATTTCCGTCCCGACTCACTCCTTTTGTCTTCCCTCTCCGTTATGTCTTGTTCCATAAGGAAACTTTTCTCATCCTCGTTCTTCCATTTTGTTCCAATCAAAGGTATCTGTGTCTTGTATCAATTATAGAGCCCAGAGCAGCGAGTTAATTTCCAGAAGCTAAACCCTCACTGCTCCGTCTCTGTATCCCATTTTGTTCAGCAGGTCTTCCACACCTCTGCACATTCTAATGAGAACCCTCGTTCAAATAATTACATTAGTAATCCCGCAGGAGACTGAGTAATTTATTCACGGTTGGCTTTTCACTTTGCCTTTAATACAACTAGCTGAGCTCTCATCTACCTCCAGCTCCCTCCCTCTCTTTTTTCTCACTCTGCCTCTCCAACCACAATGCTGAGCTTTTTTTCCCACTTCTCAACCTCCATTTACGTTTTCCATTTGTTCTTCCTTCACTTAGCTTCCTCAGATAATGATTCCCAGCTCTCCAGTTCTCTCCCCTTTCTGAAGGCTAGAGTATATCTTGCTGCGGTAGCGATTCCTTTGAATGAATGACAGATGTCCTCTCGCTCTCCTCATCATCCATCTTACTTCACACGTTCCATCTGAACAATAGACACACCCATTGCTTCTCTTTGCCTGCATCATTAAAATGCTATTCATGTGAATGCTTTGGAACACAAATTCCTTCAACATTCAGCCAAGAGACACAGGATTTAACAATCCTTCCTTCTTCATTTTGAATCTCTATGAGTTTGAGTTCAGTTTCCCTCATTGGATCTACCTCTCGAGTCAGTGGCAGATCACATTTGAAAGTCTTGCTGTTGGGGCCAGATTAACAGAAGAAAAATTACTTATGACTTATGAATGACTTTATGACATCAGGAAAATAATAAGCATAATCTACCCATCTTGTCATCTAAAATGCTATCATTACGCTTCACTACCTGATAGATTTGAGATGAGATAAAATATAAAATACAATACAAAGCCAAAGGCTACTCAACATTTGAGTTAAATTTCACTTTTTATAGTGCATATCATCAAAAAAGTTTTTAATCAAATTACCACAAAGTAATTTCCAAGCAAAAGCAGTGTCAGGTGCCCTGTAACCCTGCAATGCTTCCTGCAGCTGCTGCAGGTCTCTGAATGAAGGTCGACTGCATGATGTGTTGCCATCAACATAAGAGCTGAGGTGAAAGAAAGTCTCCTTTGATAGATTCATGTTGAAATCACAGTGCACCAACAAGAGCAAAAGTAAAAGAGCGTGTATGTGTGCACGTGTATGTGTCTATTGTATTATAAGGGTGTAGGAGATGTCATCCCTAACAAGGTTGCTAATTGTTTGTATTGATTTGCTGAGGGAGTGCTGTCTTCAGTGAACTGTACAGAAGGCAAATGACAGAGACGATAAACCAATAGTGTCAGCTGCTCTACTCCTGGGCATAATTGTCAACTTGGGCTTGTTTCAATCTTCAGTGTTACTGCACAATTCAAATTACTGAATTACACTGTGTGCGTGTGTGTGTGTGTGTGTGTGTGTGTGTGTCCAATCCCTCTCCATCATTCATCGGACATTTCGACAGAAATGACACATGAGCACACGATTTCCAGCAGGTGGAGTTCTCAAGGGTTCTGTGACTGTCCTAGCATTTCTTGAGTGGGTGACAAGTTAACCACACATAACACCTCCACATAGTCCTCTCTCTGGTGTGCCTGGACTGGACCAAACCATGGAGGATCCTGCAGGAATGCAAAGTACAAGGAAGGAAGACATAAAAATAAAGCAAATAGAGTTGAGAGTCCCGTACGTTATCCGTAATATTTTTCTTCTTCACAAGCTCTGAAAAAAGTGTTTTTGTTCTGTGACCAGATAAGAGGTTTTGTCTGTAAACTTGTGTACAGACCCACCACTGAATCAGATAAGATCCAGGGGGTCTCTGCAATTTTACACAGATGGTGTAGGCAGTGCACCCACCATCACACCAGACAATGCAGGTCTTTGTATTTTCAAAGTTGGTTTGGAGGGTTGCAGCTCACGGGTTGCCAGATTAGGCCCTCACCCACTCGCTCCATCGAAGCTTGGGACTCGGCTTTGTCGCTCAGCAGGGGTTCTTTTAGACTGTGCCCACTCGTGTGTCATTGTTCAAAGTTTCTTTACCTCCACATGCCAAAAAAGCACTGCAAATCACCAAACTTGGAAAATTTGCTTGTCATGGGAGGTGATAGTCAAGAGCCTGAGGGTGGGAGGTCCCCGCTGAGTTTACACAATCTGGCAACCCTCCGTCGCCCATCACCACCACCTCACATTCCAAAGCCACCCCCCTCCCTTTACTGCAACTCAGTTTAAATTTGCAGCCAATAAAGTATGATAGATCAGACGTTAAACAGAGGAAAGGAGAAGGACAACAGTTGAGTTGAAATGTGTTAATGCTGCTCAGCACGGGTATGTGAAGGCATGACGAGAGGCCAACTGTGGTGACTGTCTTCACACTGGATACACAGGGAATAGATACACACAGTGTTTCAAGGGCAAAGCTATTAGTCACTTCCGTATTGTTGGTTCAGGGTGTCGGATAGGTGACGTGGCGTGATGTGGCGTGACCCAGCACTGGTTACTACAGTATAACAATGTGTGTATAAAAGATACTTGGTCTCAGGACATTGCTTTAGTTTCACAAGCATTCAGTCTACAGCCAGTCCCCCGTCAGAGATCCCAGATTTGATCCCTGATGCGCATTCACAAAGACGCCAGGCTAGCTTCCAGAGGCAATAATCTGCTGCGGCAACAAGTGGGCGTACTTACAAATGAATAACAAGCAACATCTTTTTCTATATGAGAGACAGCTCTAATCTAATGTGTTTTAGTCTTAAAACTCATCTCCTTACTCCAGCGTTGCATTTAAGTCTTGACCAGTGAAAATTTATTTTTTTAGAATCGATGACATAACACCCATAATCACTTTATGATTGGATCTTTCTGTGGATCTTACTGATTATAGCTGTCATATCCAGGGACCTTTCTTTTATTTATTTCTGTAATGTAGTCTATATATGTTCATGTATTGTTGGCACTGTGTGGGTAGCAGTAAAATGTTTTGTAGACCATCTCTGACGATGTCAGTGCAGCCTTGCAGTGAACTGATGTGTTTGTGTTCTGTGATTGCAGAAAAAAAGTAGAAATAAATACACTAAAGACATGCATGCCTGGAATATAATTTCGAGTGTGTAACATTTTCATTCATGACTTGCTAACACTTACTGTCAGTAACAATTTCATCTCTGCATTGGTCCAAGAACAAAAAAATCCCTGTTCTTACTTTTCACAGTTATAGTTCTGTGTACTGGTCATGTGATAGTGTGGATGGAGATTGTTCGTGATACAGATGCTTGGATATAGATCAAATACCTATGAATGTAGATATAGTGATACATCCATGTGTCTGTGGTTTCCTGCTTATGCAGGGTTCAGGTAGATGTATTCCCCTTTCTGAAGAGCTTTCACATGCAGCTCCTCTAGATCTCCTTCCAGCATTGCTATATGGCCCAACACAGCCTCCTCACCATACTGCCCAAGGGGCTTCCTGTTCACGCCTGTCCCACTCAGGAGGGATGCCTGGAGGTGCACCAAGAGGCACACTGGGAGCGGAACAACAGGTGATCTGAACACAAATACTGTGATGAAAAGTATAATCTTGAATTATTTAAGGGGCAGTTTTCCATAATAGCTGATTCAGGTTCTGGAACGCATTCTCATTCAGTCAGATTAGTCAGGTAAATGTTATTTACCACAGCAAAATTCATGTGACTCTTGCTGCCTCTTCATCTTCAAGTACCTCTTATACATCTTGATGACACCCTAACATTTCTATCTTCTTTATCTAATCTCCTACACCTTCTCGCACTTAGTCCTCACTTCAAGCTCTCCTACTCTGCTGGAGCTATAGTTTTGTCCCCCAGTTGTAAGTAGCTTTGGACAAAATTGTCTGTCAAATGAGTGAAGTAAATTACTTGCAGTCAAATAGACAATACAGACACCTGCTTAACATGTTTTCATGTAGACAAACTGAATCTTCCATAAATAAATCATCCATGTACTTGGAGATATGGACAGAGGCTCTTTCTCCTTTCTGGAATGCACAATGTGGGTAGACCTTGGCAGACAGGGTGGACGACAAATGTTGAATTCCAGTGCAAAATATAATGTACCAAACTCACTCTTATGAAGCAGAGTCACAAGTAGATTCCCGTCCCTCATTGCGTCTGTGTGAAATGGCAAAGGCTGGAGGCAATTGCACAGCAAGAAAGAAAAGGAAGGAGAGAAAGGAGTTCTTGTGGTTTTCTCTTAATGTCCACTCAAAGCACTTTACAGTAGTTCTGCCATTCACCCATTCACACACATATTCAAGTGCATCTATGTGCAGCACAGCGCTCACAAATTGCCGGCACAGCAAAGCCAGTGTGAGATGGAAATTTACGACATTTCTAGAGTCGCACAGTGTATGCCTGGCTTTAGCTGTCGCTAGCTAACAATATATGCAGATAGTCTATCGTGCATGCGTGTTTAAATCTTGCCAGGGAAATTTTTCCTCCCCCTCTTCTTTTTTCTCCACCTGCATTTCCCGTCTCTGGCAGTTGCATCTTTACCTCAGAGAGATATCTCACTCATTTGCATTGACTTTGCCGCAATACAAAATTGCCATTCTTCACCCTCAGTCTGCATACACCTCAATGCCTCTCTGACTGTGTTGTTCACAGAGTATGATTTTTGAAGGCTGGTGAATATCATTGACATCTATACTACTTGTTGTGATCATTTTGCTAAAATATACAATATAGATGTATAGAAAAAAGGCTTAAATAGTGAGTCCTGCTTAA